CAACCGGGTACTACTTTATAAAATGCTCAAGGTACCTAGCTAGTAAGCACGAAAATTTAAATAAAACAAATTGCACTCATGTTTTTTATTCAAATAACCAGTTCAGTTTTTTCTATTATGTCGCTAAGATCAAAAATATTATTCGTATTTCATCAGTATGTAATTTGTATCTAAATATAATTTCCAAAACACACGAATTAAAAAAAAAACCGAGCGAAAAATACCGAGCAAAGCTCGGTCAACCGGTTACTAAAAACCAACCAACCCCTTGCTAGAATTCGTTTTATTCTGGTTTTGTTGTATTGTTTAGGTAAAGTTTTGTAAATAAAATTTTGTGTTGTATTGTTTTTGATACTGAATCTGAGGCTACTACCTACAATCTTATTATTTTCTTAATTTTCGCATACACTTGTGGCACTTTAATATCACAGTTCATAGCTTTCGATTATACAGAAGTGGTCGCTGCCGTCAAAAATGGCCAAAAGAGAATAAAAATTGTTCTAATCCCTATACCTAATCACATCTACTTATCTATGTCTAGGTGCGTGACAAGTTTTAAAAAATTTAGTCTTATGACTTTGAATACATATACCGGGTTATTTTTTTAAGAGTAGCCAAATTTTAAATTTAAGTTCAATTATATAAATAATGATATACACTTATTTATTTTTTAAAAATATGAGTAAAAAAGGCTTCTACTTTTATTTAAAATTATGCTAAATTTAACGTGATTTATGGGCAGCAACGTTTATACCTTCCGATCGACCCTTACGCATGTGTGTATTATATCATATAAAATAATGCATTACCACACATTTTGAATTTAAAAGAAAAAAGGACAGAATATTTGAGTATTTTTTAATTAATTTTCCTTTACCATTTGCCTACTTATTTTGTATCTTTCTGTAAATTTGGCCGGTTATTATATAAGAAAGATTAAAAGAAGAATAATTTAGTACTTGCTATATTTGGTGACCTGTAATTTAACAAGAACTGTACAATATAGTAAGGGATTTTTTTTAAATCTAATCTATAATCACTCGCCAGCGATTGAACAGATTGCGTTTAATTGTGTCGCCGTTAAAGATTTTAACGTTATCTTATCAAAATTTAAAGAGAATTCTAATGACAAAAATAAATCAAAAACAACGATTTTATCAAGTTATTAAAGTGAATATGATCTCGTGATACAGATATGAACGTATTGATTTTGTTAGTATATAATGTCACTATATCGAATATCGGTTATTTTTGTTCAATGTTTTTAATTTTCAATATGCGACAAAGAAGTAATATTTAAGGACTAACACCATAAACAAATATAACTTCAAGGATTATAAAAGAAATATTTTACGTGCATAATAATTCATGTTATGAAATGCGGAATTGAGAATTTAAATTTAAATATAATAATTTTTAGGAATGCTCTTGGAACTGTAATTCTCTTGGATGTTTGTTCCCACCACATGCTCTTTGATGTCCAGCCTGTAAATACGTTACTTTGAACGAGCCCGTCTACCGCCGTGATTGTGTATGTTACACAACCTGAGGGTAGAACACGTCAGGCTACAGGACAAAGATCTAAGAATGAGTTAGTAGTAAAGATTTAAAAATGTTTTTGTTCGTAGGATGTTGAAAAATTAGGGCATCAATAAAAATTTTATTTATCGTCTTTGGATAAATTATCCGCTATTAGTCGAAAAATGTATCGCGTGCGAAAACTGTTACCTACATCTTTCCGTTATATCTTACGGCAGAAACACAAAATATAATAGGTTGGCGAATAATATAATCCTGTACTTTAAGCGAGCAATTCTTACAGTACGTTTGCACCGAGAAACATCTAATAATGTTTTGAATCAAATCGCATAAAATAAATCACACAATATATTTTGCTGATGGTGGCGTTTGCACTCACAAAAACTGTGTAAAATTTTCAACAGATATTCAAACTTATCTTTCAACCTGACAATATTTCTACAAATTTGTTTTAAAACATTTTGTATTTGTCGTTATAAAGATATAATATAGATAACATACGTAATGTACAATATACTGTCAAGCATATTTCTCTACAACAGATTCTTTGACTAAGCAAACGCTTTTTGATACATCGACAGAAAACAGTGTTCAAAACATGTTTTTTTGTGAAAATCGCGTCAGTGCAAACTCACGGTTATATCATCATCAACATTACAGCTCTTCACATAGGCCTCCCCCGATGAACGCCATGAGATGATCCACTTGCATCCATCGATATAATTGAATTCGTATTTTTTTACATAATATAATGTATGTTTCACTTTATAAGTTTATCCTACTACATATTAAGACCTATATATATATATATATATATATATATATATATATATATATATATATATATATATATATATATATATATATATATATATATATATATATATATATATATGTGTGTGTGTGTGTGTGTGTGTGTGTGTCACTAATATAGGTTATTAATTAACTTCAAAAATTGGGAGGTTCTATATTCGATTAGGTTTTTTTTGTATGTATGTTTATCCATTTCTCGGAATCGGCACGTCGCTTGCTGCTGCTGTCTGCAGTCGGCTACGGAATTTCTTTTTAATAGAGGGAATAACAATTAGAGTCTCGTTTAGACAATACTCTAATTGTTACCGTGAATTTGTGACTTTACTTAGACAGTAGTCCATTTTGAGTACAAAATGGTAAATCAATATTTTAACTTTTAATAATATAATTTTTATTAATTATTTTAATAGTTTATTTTTTTAATGTTCGTAGGCTGATAGTGATGCTCTAGATCAAATCGTAGATTAACTTGATATGAATAATTTCTTAGAACAAAACGTGTTTGTCAATATAACGGATGTGCTCCGTACATTTCGCATGACGTGTCGATAAATTGTTTATTTATGGATGCAATATCTAATTCATGTATGTTTTACATCACAATGCCCTGTCCAATTTAAGACGTTTTTCAAGGAATTTCTCTGTTCATGGATTTTGTTTATTTTCCAATGTCGATTACAGAGATCACGTGTGGACTTGTTGACGGAGCCGCTCAGTTTGTTTAACGTATGCCACTAATAAAATAACCATTGTAAAATGAGCTCTTGTAGTAGGTGATATGTTGGGATATTGGTGTATTAGTATCGAGGTCACGGTCATTGGTTTGTGATAATGCTGTCGATCATTGAACTTATATGGGTTTTTAAAATACTGTGATAATAAAGTCGTGAAGAATTAAAAAAATAATGTCCCTAATAATAAATTTCTAATGCTAAATTAGCAGCGAGCTGAATTAGCAATGGGTCGGCCATAATATAGCTTGTAGAACCGACAACCGATAGGGGAAGAAAAGTTTTTGAGTGCCAGCCTCGTACCGGTATGCGAAGTGTGTAAGACATGCATGAAGTCGATGGATGCTGGTGGCTCAAGACCATGCTCTGTGTCATTCCATTAGGGAGGCCTATATTCAGCAGTAGATTCGTGAAGGGCTGTAATGATGATGACGATGTTATGTACGTTAAATAACATTGGGATTATATGTTGTAAAAATAGAATACAATAATACATACATAATAGAATGGGGGAGTGGGCGGAACCCGCGTACAAATAAATATGTTTAAAATTTCAACGATTTTTTTAATGACGATCTTGAACATTAATCAAAAGTCTAAAATGTGTAAATTTATTCAGTCTGTCAACACAGCGAATCGGGTTTGGCGACGCCAAGCCTTGTACAAAATAAATTTGACAGCCATTCTATTGTGCATTATAATATTCTATGGTTGTAAAAGCAATTACACCATTCAATAAATTGTTTCAGAATCTCGAGAATCTGCTTTCGTGCATGCGCTGTCGTCAGCGGCGTTGGCGCACGCGGTGGCACGTGCTTGCAGCCGCGGCGAGCTGAACGAATGCTCGTGTGATGCCAGAGTTAGGAAACGGACGCCTAGACATTGGCAATGGGGTGGTTGTTCCGAGGTATAGAACATTGATTGTTTTCTGCAAATATATGCTCACTGATAGTTTATATAGAAATTGCTTGAATATCGTTAGAAGGTGATTGTTTCCTTCTGCTGATCATATTATGGTCCCGGGTCCGAATCCCAGGTTAAGCGAAACATGAGTTAGGTAGGTAGTCAAAACATTTTCAATAGCAGTCCGGATTAAAAGTTGGTGGTGTTTCATTGCCGTGCCTCGAAAAAAATGTAAAGTCATTAGCCCTTGATCTCTCTCCGGTTGTATCAGATTGCAGTCCCATCGGACTATCAGAGTAAGGGAACAAACAGAGCATCTGTGCTTGCGTACACACTCTAACCTCATAATCCTGTCCTGAGCAAATGTCCTACGAAGTTCGGTCTGGAGTCTATTATTATTCTACCAGTGAATAAACTTTGAGAATTTTCCGTCACGCATTGCAAGCGGATTCGTTTCACATTTATACAATGCCGATGTTGGTCAATCCGTTGTATCCGATGTGATGTTTTTTGTAACGAGAGAGTGACAAAAAAGCCCACAATCTATGTAATAGAAAGTGGCTACTGTAGTTTATAAAAACCCTCACCTCAAATCCCTCAAAATACCCTGTTCCGTATCCCGTATATATATATATATATATATATATATATATATATATATATATATATATATATATATATATATATATATATATAAACTTGACTAAACTATGCTTGATATAGAATATGTAACGTAATTAACGCAATTTAAGAAAGTAGTTTGTTCAGAATCGTTTACTGAATCGATTCCTATCATTTTTAATATAGGTAATTTTTTTTTCCCAAAAATAATTAAAACTACGTAAATTACAGTCATACTAAATCTGTACAGTCAAAACAAACTGAAATGGACCGTAACTTAAGGCAATAAGACTTTTAAGAGTGCAGTTTTATTTGTAATATTACTAATACTAATAATTTGTATTATTACTAATTCTGTCATTCAAAAATGAACTTTATTTCAACCACGTTAAAGTCTTTGCGTTCGTGGATTTGTACTGTGACCACAAAATTCTTCCGGAATTAATATAACTAATTTGATAAATAATCGGTGCTGGTTTACATAATGATTTCTTATATTTACGCGAACACTATACATTGATTAAAACTACTTTTACGGATTTTATCGCGTTTTATTTATATTAATTTTAATACCCGACGTTTCGGGTGCTTTCCAGCACCCATGGTCACGGGGGACTGAGGTGACTGACGTCCCGATGTCAAAGTTAACCCGGAGTACCTTCAGCTTTTTAATTATTGTCTTTGGCCCGATCTACGCAGAATGAACTAACTGTATTTTGAAGTCTTGCAGTGGTATGCTTGGGTTTAGTTTTAATTTTATTAATTACCTATAGGATCCCAAGCAGGTGGTAGCACCCAGCCTCCTTCTCTATTGAAATTAGGATGTTTTTTAATTTCAATAGCCTCACGTATCATCCTTGGTAGGAATCGATGTTCTTTCGCGAGGATTTGTGGTCTATGAAATCTGATGTAATGATTGGGGCCATCTAGAATATGATCGCAAACTGCAGACTTATATAGGGCAAACAAAGGGATCAATTAGAACCCGCGTAAAAGAACACATAGCTGACGTGAAGCATCAACGTTCCGGGAAGTTACGTTACATATTGTATATATATATATATATATATATATATATATATATATATATATATATATATATATATATATATATATATATATATATATATATATATATATATAAAAATTTCGCTGTGACTTTTTACAATAGTTGTTTGACATTAATTTTAGGACATAAGATATGGTGAAGTATTTAGCCGGGACTTCGTGGACGCTAAAGAAGATAAAAACACGGACGAGGGACTGATGAATCTTCACAACAATGAAGCGGGGCGAAGGGTAATTGTTTTGAACAAATAATATTACTTTAACGAATTAAATACATGCTTTGAATTGAACTTAATTTAATCGGATAAAATCTGCATAAATTCAATAAAATAAAAGCTTTGATTTTAGTTTGTCTCACATAAAATTTATGGTTTCCGAGCGGTCTACGTTCGCAATCACTGAATTTGTAAATTAATATCAATCAATTACATATTGTTGAGTGCGAGTAAGATTAATTCAACATTAAAGGAAACCATTTCAGGGAAATTTGAATATCTATGAAAGTTGAAAAAATATAAAGAATGGGAGCAATATGTTTGGCTCCTCACCACTATTATAGAATTTCCATCTTAACCTTAATGGGTGAGAGCGCGTTTAAAAAATATTATAATTGCACGTTAATGTTTGAATGTATGCTAGGATTCGACAGCTGGCGTAATCAAGTCATTACCAAATTCTATTTTTATAAACCAAAATGATATAATATATCCAGGTTTATTCCCAAAAAAGAAAATTACTAAATCTGGACCCGATAGGTGGCGCTGTTTGAATTAATAAATTCATACTTACAGCGTAAAAATCGTAGTGAAACTAATCGCGCCACCTGTCGGAAAGGGCAGAACAATGTCTGCCGGGCCAGCTTGCTTTTTACATATCCATATTTATAATACCAGCGGTGACCTAAAATCACCACATAATTGGGTCACAGGTAGGGTTACCAAGGGGGTGGGTGGAAGGTGGGTAGCCTCACATCACTGCTGATTGGGGGCCTTACATATAAAAATGTTGACCCCACAACCATCAGATGGGTGAAGTCGATGCTCTCAAACAGAAAGGCAAAAATAGCGCTGTTTCAAACTTCGATTGAGGTTGCAACCACAAGAGGCTGCCCACAAGGAGGTGTTTTGTCACCTCTTCTTTGGACTCTTGCGGTTGACCAACTATTGTACAAAATGGCAGACCTACGCATTGACATATTGGGTTATGCTGATGACCTTGTGATCATTGCAAGGGGCTTTTGCCAAAGTACTTTATCGTCAATAATACAAAGAGCCCTAAACACCATAAATAACTGGTGTAGGGATAACAGTTTATCAGTTAATTCTGATAAAACTGTTATAATACCCTTTACCAACAAGAGACGCTTGGACAAATTAGTCCAACCAAAACTTAATGGCAAAGAAGTACCATTTTCCACGGAAGTTAAGTACTTGGGCGTAACAATCGACCAAAAACTAACGTGAAACTCACCTTAGCAACGTATGCCATAGGCAAAGATTGCTTAAGGTACGTGCAGTCGTTTGGTCGGGAACAACTGGGGCCTGCGTCCCAGTATGGTCCTATGGCTGTACAGCAGCATAGTGAGGCCGATTCTCACCTACGCCTCTATTGTCTGGTGTAACAAGGCCAACCAAAAGACGACTGCGGACAGACTGAATAGTCTACAAAGGACTGCCTGCCTAATGGCAACTAAGGAGCTATGCGATCTACCCCTGGAGCGGCTCTTAATGCACTTCTATGCATATCGCCCCTTGATCTCTATCTAGACAAGGAGGCGAGGGCTAGTTTGTATAGAATTAACGCCCAGGGTGGTCTGAGCTTGCTCTCCTCATATTGAGATCCATGCTCGACTCAATTAAGGAATCACCGGTCGTATGCATGATCACAGATATCATGCGTCCACTATACACTTTTGATAAAAAGTATATAGTGGAATTACCCTCCAGAGAAGACTGGCTGAATGGCCAGGTTATCTGTGAGGTCGGTAGCCTCATATGATATACCGATGGGTCTAAAATGGGCCTCGACGTAGGCTTTGGAATTTACGGGGAACGCCCCAAATTCAAACTTAGTATGAATTTGGGTAGATACACCTCTATCTTCCAGGCAGAAATTTTCGCCATACTTCGGTGTGCGGAAATCAATCTGCAAAAACACTACGTCAACCAAAAAATTTACATAAACTCTGATAGTCAAGCAGCATTGCTAGCGCTGAGGTCAAACTTAGTGAACTCAAAGCTAGTAGGAGACCGCGTGAACCGTTTAAACGCCCTGGGTTGTAACAACAGGGTCGTTTTAAGATGGGTTCCGGGTCACGAGGATATTGTAGGCAACGAATTTGCCGACAAACTTGCACGGGAGGGCTCAAAGTGCAGACAATTTGGACCCGAGCCATTTTGTGGAATCTCAAGAAGCCTAGCCCGATTGACTTTTGAAACTCTTTATCACAATAAATCACTTAAGATCTGTTCTGACACACCAAGCTTAAAACATTCTAAAACCTTAATCCGGGCTTTTTATCGTAAATTCGCTTCAGAAGCCCTGGTATTAAGTAAAAATTAATTGCGCATTCTGGAAAGAGCCCTAACTGAAAACCGTTGTCTTAAAAAGCACATGTCCATCCTGGGACTAAGCAACTCAAGGATGTGTCGGTTCTGTTCCATAACGGAAGAAACGCCTCTACACATCCTAACCGATTGCGGACCCTTAATGCGCAAACGTAACACTCATCTGGGACACTATCTACTCCGCCCAGAAGAAGTGTAATTGCTCATGGCTAAGCAACTCCAATTCATTGAAGACATTAGCAGTGAACTATAGCCATAGCAGCGATCACAATAGATCTTCTAGGTCGCAGTGATACTGGTCTCTTTACCTAGACCTGCATAGCTGCTCGCACATAATAAAAAAAATAGGTTTACCAACTCTCGAAATGACTAACCTGGGAGAATTTTATGTAATCGTTAATTAGTAAAAGGGTGTAAGAAAATGTCAATCATTTATTAATTTTTAAATTTATATTTACTTTGCTTTCGATTTACTTTGCGAGTGCGAGCGACGGATGAACATAATTTTTAGAAAAACCAAAGAAATTATTGCACCCCGGGAGGTCGGGAGATTAACCATTATTACCGTAGCACCGGGCAATCCGGGAGGGCTGGGAACCCTAGTCACAGGCCAGTTTGTCTCATTACTTTTAATAACATGCGTGAACTGAGACAAATAAAAAGCTTATTATTATTAATTGGGGTATCTATATAGTTTTCTCATGTGGTTGGGTTCTATAAATATTTAATTATAAATTAAAATGAAAAGATAAATATACATAAATATCAATAAAATAAAATAAATACAAAAATACATAAATAAATAAAAGCCCAACGAGATGGAAGCCCTCGGCAGGGGAGATCAAACGGCCGAGGGTTAGGAGGAAAGGGAAAGAAACTGGCGGACGATGCGGGCGGTATCGAGGAGCACAGCCTTCTGCATTTCAGTTATTATTATTATTATATCCTGCTGGTGGTGACTTCAGGCGGTGCGTAGTCGCATGCAACGCGTGTGCAAGTGCCACGGCATGTCGGGCTCGTGCTCCGTGCGCGTGTGCTGGCGTCGCTTGCCGCAGCTCCGCCTGGTCGGCGACGCACTCACCAATAGATATGAGGGCGCATCACATGTTAAGGTAACTATTATATTTGTTAATTATTTTGTTCTTGCTTTGTTCAGTAGTGGAAGAAAGAGAGGCGATCTCTCACCAGATTTTTTATACGTGGTAGAGCCGCTGCGGCTATATTATGGTTGTAGCTCGAATGGATCGGCTCCACCGGGAAGGACCACGCTCTCACAGAATACCAGCACAAAATAGCAGCTTAATACTGCCGTGTTTCGTAAGGTGAGTGTAGAGATCCGGATACCCCTTTTACTGGAAACGAGGCATTCCATATTACTCTTCAGATGTGAAACACATCTGCAATTTGATTCTTAATGGAGGACATTATATATATATATATATATATATATATATATATATATATATATATATATATATATATATATATATATATATATAATGACCTAGGCCTGAGATTTTATGGACCTCTAAGTCTGAAAGAAGTCCTTTGTGACAGCAGTATATAGTATACGTAGTACATACTACATATATACCTTGTAACAGTAGTGTTAGCGTGCAATAAAAATATATCCCTTATTCAAAGCATTATTTTGCTCGATGTGCAGCTTCACGTATTCATTTATTAACAGCCAGCTTATAGGTCGTCACTCCATGTAGCTAGTGGGCATTCCACATATCTCTATACTACATTTTCTTTTTAATTTCTAGGTAGTAGACCGTAAACGAGGCAAAAATATAAGAAAGCTGCGGCCAATACATGCTGACATGAAAAAACCAAATAAAACTGATTTGGTATATTTGGAAGAATCTCCCGACTACTGTGAACCCAATGACGAGTAAGTTAAATTAAAAAAAAAACCTTCCTATAATGTTTTTGAAAATATAAATAGATAAAAACATACATATTTTATGGGACTTTCCTAAGGTTCACTTTCTATAACTGGATTATTTAATTAAATATTGTATTATTATATGACTACGATCTACGTAACTGTAAGTAAATAACACAGTACGTGAGCAATCCGGGGTCGATTACCGCCGGCACCATTGAAATTGTTAATCGCTGAGAGCTGATTTTTCACGTGCTTAACGGTGAAGGAAAAAGTTTCGTAAAACCTGCGTATCTGAGGAAATAAAATATTTCTAGGATATGTAAAATCAACCAACACGCACTGGAGCAGCGCGTCAGACAAATTTCTCCGAAAACTCGATTAGAATAGGAGACAATTGGCCTGTGAACATGGGACCTAGAAAGGATGTAACTCTGTTTTAAAGTTTTTCAGTAAATATCTTGTTGCACATGTTATATATCAAAATGGATGACATTTAAGCAATTATAATTAATTTATTTAAGTAGTATATAATATACATACAACTCTTAAGACGTTTCCTATCTAATTTGTTAGGCGTTTATGGCCAAACACGATAGAGCTATACACAAAATATTAAAAAAATTATGTGACTTTGTTTTGATGATAATATGTAATTTATTCATTTAATAATTTAGTCTTTACAACCTGTCAAAGGTTCATAGTCGAACATAGACCTCCCACTCTTGCATAGATTGGCTCATACGGGGATTTGGCAGGTTGGCCACCAACGTTTTTATTCCTATGCCTATCATCTTCCTTCGACTCTTGCAACACCCACGGGATGTTAAACGTTAGTGGATATACTTACGTCCAAAGCCGTCTTAGACCATACCGGGGCCCTTGGGCACAAACAAATTTGGGGCCCTGTTGGAAAGTAAAAAAAAGGGAATGACAAAATATTTTTCCGCTACGAGCTTATATTTATTATAGTTAATTGGTAAAAATCAAATAATATGTCAGTAATGAGGGCATCCACGACTTTTTGTGCCATCAGGGCGGCGCTACCTTACAATGAGGTAAAATATTTGACAGATTTCATAGCGGGGACGATAATTTATAAGCAAAATGTAAACTTTAATGTTTCTTTCCTAAACTTTTCTTTTTATTTCTTACATTTAAATTTAGGCTTCACTTATCTAAATCGTAACAATTATTTGCTATAAAATCTAATATTTGCGGTTGAAAATTATCATATTAAATAAATCATTTGCCCTTATATCTTTTGAAGTGTAATTTTTATTAAATAGTAAGAAATTATATTTTCATCTCATAACTTACAAAATACATAGGTTGCCGAAAATTAAAAAAATCAAGGCTATAAGTAAGGCGACTGTACAGCCCGACAAAAACGTTGAGATGGCGTGGTGGCGACTACATATTTTCTACCTACGAAATGCCAGTTTTTCCGGCAATGTGTGGCTTGTCACTGCTCAGGGTTGCCAGAAAGTCACTAACAATGCCCTCATTTACTCTATAATTTTTTGGCGGGTTATATTTTCCTAAAATAGAAAAAGATTGTATAGCGTAAGCGAATAAGGCCGATGCCTTTCGTCATGGAGGCCCCCGTGATGATAGTGGCCATGGGCACGGGCACTTGTGCCCTTATGGTAAAGACGGTACTGCTTACGTCGCCTCTTAACGCAAAGATAATAGTTTCTTTAAATAATGAAGTAAATGAATAGTACCTACATATATAACTAAATAATTTTTAATTTAGTTTTTAACTAAATATGTATATAATTTTGAAAAAAGAAATTCATATTTAGTTAAAAATAATGACTAAAATGCATTTTTTTGTATATTATTTATTTATTTCAATATCATACAGAAATAAATAATTTCATTTGATTCGTTGTGTCTCAAAGCCTTGTCAAACGGACGAGACAAGATTGATGTTATGTGTTTCTCAGATTGGGTATTCTTGGTACGCGAGGTCGAACATGCAACAGAACATCAGCGGGTCTCGACGGTTGTCGTCTTCTTTGTTGTGGTCGTGGATACCAGACTCGAGTTCAAGATCACGAGGAGAAATGCCGATGCCGATTCGTTTGGTGCTGTCGAGTACATTGCGAGATTTGTCGATATAAGCGAGACCATCATGTCTGCAATTAGGTATAAAGAATCAATGTATAACAGTCTTTATAAGCTGCCGTGTAATTGTATTATGTAACAATTGTGTAGGAAAACTTGAGTCCCAAAATGTCAAGACTAATATTTCTTGACTTATAAACCAAATAGAAATGTTATCTGTATATGCTTTACTTCTCTCAATTTTAAATTATTTTGATATCTTAACTTTTTCTATTTACGCGAACACTACACATTAAATGAAACTAATTTTACGGATTTTATTGCGCTTAATTTTGACTACTTGACTTCGTCCCCCCATGACCATGGGTGCTGTAAAGCATCCGAAACGTCGGGAAATAAATAGTCAAAATTAAACGCGATCAAATGCGTAAAGTTTGTTTCATTTCATTTTCATTTCAATTTCATTTATTATGATATCATTCTTAATTTATGATTTGCACAACTTTGTGACTTTTAATAACAAAAAACTTGAGAACTTGAGGCTAAGTTTTTGCTTGATGATACCAACCAACATATTTCTGTACAACTTAGTCATGTGCAAAAGTTCATACGTAACATAAAGCAAATAAAGGCTAAAATAAGAAGATTTATGAGCTGTCAAATATTTGAAGAAATGGTTTTAATAATCTATTGCTGCCGCGCTGTCTTTGAACGACCGAGTTAGACAACGTAGACAACTGCAGCTTTGACTGGATTATACCTATTAAAATTGACATCTCTTATTCTCTATTTCCTCCAAAACTGGACAGATTTCTGTTATTCTTTCTATAAGAATATTAGAACGCCATGTCTGAATGCCATTCATTTATCTTTTATTTTATTCGTTAAGTTTGGAGGGCCTATACAACCTCAGCTCGAATTCTAATGTCACCCTCACTTCCCCGCGCGTCGTATGCTATCTTGTTGTACACATGTTTGTAATCAATAATACTTTAAGTAAATCAAAAAAGTGAACACATTTCAATTATTACAAAAACTAGAGATGTATAAACTTTTTAATTTTTAGTATAAACTATATTGGAGTTGCATTTACATTTATACTCTTGATAGGTCGTTAGATACTTATTTCATTAGGTTTATGCCTATGCCTGTTTCTATACGCCAACCAAGTCGCCTCTTACTTTTATTACGGTTATTTTCTATTTTAATTTTACGTAGTCCAGTTGCGTAATGTGTATTCTGATCGTAAGCGACACAGCTTTCCCGTTTGAAAGCCGAAGCGAGATTTATCGTGCGGCAAGGAACAAGCTAGAAGAATCTGTGGTATTTGAAAATAAAAAACATAAGCCCTTAAGGTAATAATGAAAGTTTCATGATCTAATTTAAAGTATTTTATGAATACCAGCGGTTTATAGTACAGTTTGGAGGTAACTTTGGTTTTTTTTTCAATCGAGAAAATTTTACGGAATCGTGTTTTCGTCTAACATAGCACTTAACAATAAGCCTCAACTTTACCATATATTTATTTCAAAATTAATGCTGCAATATTTTCGGCATAACGGAGGATCTTGCTAAGCTATTTGAGGTAGTATAGGCCCTTAATAGCGCGGGTCAGTTTTATTAAGTTTAGAAGGTTCTTAATTTTTAAAATTATTACTTTGTATAGAAAAACAATGGGTACAAAGAAACATAGCATTATATGTATGTATATGTAATATATTTGCTTTAGTAACATCATCCAAGGAGAAAATAGAGGTACACATGTATGGAGTGAACCTTGCCTGGATAGGTACCCTATTAATAAATTACACAATTAATTGGTAATAACATAAAACTTAACTACAAATAAACTAACTAGCTTTAAATTCAAAACTTTTTTATTACTACATGATTAACAATTGTGACCGCCGCGGCGCATGCCATTTTTTCTGCTTATTCTACAATGGACTTTTGCAAATGACCTTACCTTTTTGGCTTTAATTGTTAGTACAGTAATTTTTCTTGTTATATATTATTTTGTATAAAATGATAAATTGACCTAGATAACAATAGCCAATATTTGAGATAATGGTAATGACTTTATGAATATAGTAATTAGAATTGCGAAGTAAACAATAATACTTATATCTTGTTTGTATATATCAACAAATCGATTCAAAGGATTTTTATAATTTATTTACCGAAAATTGGCCTTTCTTTTTACTTAATAAGTACATATTACGTATTGCTGTGAAAAAATTAATAACTCAGAACCCGTACTTATTATGATTGCCTTAATAATAAAACAAAAAATACTTGATGCAACGATTGGACTGATTATTTTTAAATTATAGGAATCGAATACTTTTGTGTCTCTTCTGATCATAAGCTTTAAAATTATTTACAGTATTATAATAACTTATTTTACGTTTTACCGTGTACAAATCTGTAAATACTAAGTATGTAATTTTGTTAATATTCGATTTAAGTACGATTAATTTTATTATAACATTTCTAGATTTCAATTATACGAGTTCGGCTACGACAGCTAGGCTTGTTTAAGCGGTTGTAAATAGATTTGAATTTTGGTTTGTACTTAATAGTAAGTATTTATTTTTTGTTCTACCTCAGAAGCAATAATGTTTCTCTTTTTTGTATGATCGTTTAAAAATACTTTTTTATTTCTATATTTTCTTTTATCCGTATCATATAAAATATTCTGTAAATATGTTTATCATAGTAACTTATTGTATTAGATTGTGATAGATTTTTACCTTATAGCAATATAATGTATCTATTGCCAATGTAGCTCCTGAATCAAATTTCCCAAAATTTTAGTGCTAAGGTCCGTGTCTTAATTTGTAAATACTTTTATAATATGACTATTATAACTAATTATGACCCTTAAAATTAATGTCTAGGCCTATATTACCCTGCCAAAATATTTCATTCATGAAAATTACAAAAAAATTAAGTAATAATTGGAACTCAATTGTTTGTAATAGAATGTAAGAAATTCTACATTGCTTTGGACTCGAACGTTTGTGACACATTTAAAAAAATCCGATCTATTTTGATTAATTCTACACTTCGACATAAATTTGTATTTTTATCTGCAATTAATGATTTGGACTACAAACATCTTTAAATAATATATCGATTCGGATTTTTTAACTCTTTTATATCAGTGCAAATATATTTGTATCGTTATTAGGGTTAGGGAGAAGACTTTTAGGTTCATCGTCTTAAATATGAAATAGTTACTATTCGATGTACATTGAATAAAATAAATGTGTTAGAAAGCACGGAAATGTTATTTTGCTAACACTTAGCTCCTTATACAACTTTATCGTTTATTAATAAGACGCTTGTTCATACGTTATTGAAGATAGCTTAAATTGCGCTCTGATTCTGGCGTATCTGATGTAGGTTCTACATCAAGGTCAAATTTTTGTAAACGAAAAGCTTTTTAATACGCGTTTTTTATATATAATATGACTTAAAATATCGAAATAAAATATTATTAATCTTATTTTAAAAAGTAATAGTATAATATGATTGTGAAAGACGAAAAATAGCTTTAAAATATATCTATTAATTTAATATTCATTTTTCACTCATTAACGTCATTTTGAGGTCGTGTCGGATAAATTTAACCCTGAAGTTAAAGATGAATTTTGTTACAAGTACGTATTTAACTATTTAGTTATAAAATAAGCGTTATAATGCGAAAAATTTGTAACAATATAACATAAAAAATTCCAAATAAGTACCAATTCTCGTCACTATTTTTAAATAACTAAATTTCCTGGGCAACGTTTTTGTCCAACGCTCTAAAGTAACATATTTTTAATTTTAAATATTAAATAAATGAACTTTTTTGTATTTTAAAGCTTAGAATCCTACAACATAACCAGAAACAAATTTGTTTATATCGGTTTTTTAATATCAAATCATATTTTTAAATCTAGGAACAATAGAAAATTTAAATAAGACAAATATTTTTATATTTGAAACACGGCTGTTGGGGAATAGGCTATAGCTAATGCCATTCTAATATTACAGAAGGGAGCAGGCATATTTAGTTTAGTAAATTTTGTTACTTGGGTGGTTAGGGTATAGGTAGATAAAGAAAAAAGAACTACCATCCATACCCATAGAGTCAGTGTCATAAGAATATCAGATTCTGCATTGCATTCACAATATAGCGATACCAGTAAGAATTCAAAATACAAATAATTTAACTTTCTTAATTATGTAGTGACTTTTTCCTCCATTCTATAAATTTGAACAACACTGTGAGTAAAACGATACGTAAAATTTAAATTTACCTATTTAGAGACCGAAAAGTCATTGTAGTGATTCTTAACCTAAAATCTACATTTTTTCCGTTATGGATGCTACTTGAAAAGAAGGAAGGAAGCCTTTATAAACCTGTCGGCGAACAGAGGAAAATCCAGAAAAATCTCATAAACGCAGCAGAAAGCTCAGTGATTAAAAAAATAAATAAAAATAACTTAAGGTGTAAAGAGAGCAAAATCATTTTCTTGCTCTACTATAAACCTCAATTTTTGAGTTACGATGTTATTCGATAGATAATGTGTTCCCAATCGTTTTTATTGAAACTTCCTTTGCTAGTTATATATTTTTTGCTATATCTTTTTAAGAGAGACCAGATGGTATACCAGCTATAGTTCTAAAGGCTTGTGCACCTGAGTTGTCTCCTGTGTTGACACGCTTGTTCCGCCTCTCATTTAGGACTGGAATAATGCCAAAATCCTGGAAGCTGGCCAACGTGCAGCCTGTTCCAAAAAAAGGCAGCCGTGCCGACCCTGTCAATTATCTGCCAATCTCAATTACCTCCATACTCTGCAAGATTATGGAGCGTATATTGAACAGTGTACCTAGAACAGAATGACCTCCTTAGTGACCGGCAATGGGTCAGCTGGGGACCTTCTAGCGTATGCCACAGACATATGGGGTATGCTAGCCTTCTGGTTAAGCTTTCAGCGTACGGCTTATCTCCCGATCTGATTGACTGGGTAAAGGACTTTCTGAGTGAACGGTCTCTCCGGGTCGTTATCGATGGCTGCTCATCCGATCCAGTGACGATTAACGCCGGTGTTCCTCAGGGGTCCGTTCTCTCGGCAACTCTCTTCCTGCTGCATATAAATGTTTTACTTATGCCCGATATCTATGGGTACGCAGACGACAGCACAGTTGTGGAGACCCCGGGGCCAGTCGGGATCAAATCCAGTCCGAAAGAGAAGCTATGGTAGAGCATGTGAATCTCACACTACAGGCAGTCTCCGAATGGGGCGATGCTAATCTTGTGATATTCAACACCTCCAAAATATAAGTGTGTCTCTTCACTGCAAAAAGGAGCCAGCTCACCTTGGCTTCTTCTTTCCGAAATGTATCACTGGAATACACCGACCGCCTCCAGTTACTGGCGGTAGATATATCCTCAAATCTGAAATTCGATCGGTTCATTGAGTCTAAGGCCAAAGCAGCTGCAAAGAAGCTAGGAGTCCTTGCAAAGGTGCGGCGATACTTCCCGCCGGGACGGATGCTCACTTTATATAAAGCGCAAGTCCGGTCGTGCATGGAGTAATGCTGCCGTATATGGGCTGGTACTGCAAAATGCCACCTAGCAGCTTTGGACTCAATGAAAAGGCGTGCTAAGAGGCTATTTGGTGACCCGAATTTTGTTAAAACAAATCTTACCAGCCTCGAAGACAGGCGCAAAGTAGCCAGTTTTCCGGTCTTCTACAGGATGCATTTCGGAGAGTGTGCGTAGGAATTGCATAATATAATTCCTCCCTCTCTCTTCTACCATCGGGCAACCAGTCGTTCGGCCAGTCTCCACCCTTTCGTTGTTGACTTACCACGCATTCGAACCAAACAGTTTGCTACGTCGTTCGTTATGCGTACAGCAAAGGAGTGGATTCCTATGTGGGTGTCTTCAATGCAAGAGTGAATAGGTTTTTGCTAACCCATTGCGCTTTACCATCTTAAGCTACATAGGTGAGATTGCAGCTAAGTGATGGCTTAAATAGTTAAAAAATGATGTCCGATTTGAAACCGCACGCGCCGCCCTTGTATTTTCAGTATATATTGTTTCATTCACCGTATTAGGTATTGAAAAAGAAAACTTCAAAGAATATCTTAGCTCGTTTTAATGAGAACTTCTCAAATAGGGACTGAAATTTAGAAATTATTGCCATTTTCATTTCTTTTTAGTACGAGAATTATGAATAAGTAATATGCGCATTACATCGCATATATAGATACGATCTTCACTTTATATTACTTTACTATTTGAGGCGAACTGTTCGCTTTGTCACGTGACTCCGCCAGGAAAGCGCCCCGATGCCCTAAAGCGTCACGTTACCCAAGTTAGGGAAACTATGATCTAAGCAATTAGCTAAGCAAGGCACGTCTATAATTCGTAATTAATAATCGAGATTAGTTCCCAGTGCCGACCCCATGAATAATTATAGTAGAAATTTTGTGGCTTGATTTAACACGTGCTTTTCAGGAAAACATCAGAAAGGAACTCGTACGTCTGAGGAGGTAACCCATCCTGTCCTATATCATAGAGCTCATAGTTATTGTTTTGCTTAAAATCGAACAGTTGATGTGGAATTTACTGTACGATAAAAATAACGCAAGTTTACAAAAAAAAGTATAGAACAGAACTAATGAAAGATTTATATATGAAATACATATATTTATTTAGTTGACAAAAATTACAAATTTAAGAAATATTAAATTAATTTCCGAGAGGATTTCCAAGCCAAGGATAAACATTTGGGCATGTATTGCAAATCTGCATCCAGTAGCTCATCTGTAACATTAAATATAAGAATAAATAAAATAAATAAATACTTGCCCATTCTAAATATATCTCTATTCTTATAATAATAAAAAGGTCTTGTCACATTACTGTTTAGTCATTGTAGTTGGGTCTACCCCATAGGCTTATTTTTACGCCCGAAGCAAATAAGGGCAACCCTCTGGTAACGGGGGAGGGAGGTGGTTTGGGATTGGCTTAACGATCTGATGAGCAGAGGCGGCGTAAGGCGTGGGCGACGTGGGCCACCGCCTACGGCCTCGCGATCCAGGAGGCCTCGCGCCGTGGAGGCTTATGCATTACTTAAAACCGTAAACGCCGTTAAAAAAATTCATTGTCATGAATCGATATTATTGACATAACTAAATACGTTTTTAATCAGTCTAGCAACATTAGTTTGCGTTGCTATTGCGGGGAATCCCCGCTGGGGCGACCAGTATACGAGTCTATACAGGGTATGTTAAATATAAATATGGGTATGTTAAATCCAAAATAGAACCCAGTGTACTGTCCAATGCAAATGACGTCATGAATCGACGCTATACTGGTGATGCGTTCCAAAACGTAGGACAGTCCATGACGTCATACATTTGCGCCATATTGGAAAAGTGTTGGCGATTATTTTGTCATTTTGTGCTCCAAAAATCATCCTATCCTCCTAATGGAGATGCCAACAATTATTCTATAATTTTTTGTATTTGAATAAATAAAACAAATTCTGGCATGATTCATTCAGCGCACACACAATTAAAAATTGTTTTATTATGGCCGGATATCCGACGCAATATGGCGGCAGCACGCCAGTTCAATATAGTGTCAATTGATGACGTCATTTTGTATTCGGCAGTATACTGAAAACGCTGAGGACAAAAGCTGAGGATTCCCCGTTCTGTTTGTTAGACAGAATACTGATTTTATTCAATGGTGGGCGCGTGGCAATCGAGTAAAGAGTGCGGTACAGCAGCCCACGTGGTTGTCATACGTATATTTTCGCGCTGTGCGCACATGAGTAGATAAACGGAACAGACACAAAGCTTCTTAAGTACTTGTAAAATTATTACCTATTTTGGTAGGGTTGTCAATATAGGTGAAGACAAATTAAAGCTCTAGAAGGTTTGCGTACATTTTGTGACTGGATTAAAGAATATCGACAAACTTGTTTCGAAAAATGCTTGTCTGGTATTAGTTTATTGAAAAAAAAAACTGTTATGATCTGCCAAAAGACTTTAAAAATAAAAGAGTAGCCAAAAAGAAGAAGGTGTTGGATTATGAAGGCAAGGATTAACCTATATAGTCTTCTAAAAGTCGGTATTAAACAGATTTTCAACACCATGCTTGTTCAATTATAACAAATTTGGATTTGAGATTTATGGCTTTAAACCCACATTATGAAAATTTTGGTTTCCTTTATGATTTAAACAAGTTAAAAAATATTCCAAACCATCTAATATTAAAATAACAGTCAAGATTTACACACAGACCCGCGAGTGGGTGAAAGTAGTGACTTTCAACCTTACGAATTATATGAGGGATTACAATTAATGATCCCTAATTTACCTAACTTCGTAACAGGTGTGAAACAGCTTCTCCAATAATTTACAGAAAATAATTTAAAAAAAACATACCCAAACATTTACATCGTCATTTAACAATACCGATCAGTACAGCCTCCGCTGAAGGAATCTTCTTAAAATTAGTACTCATAATGATTTCTAAAATTTACGCGAACACTACACATTGAATAAAACTATTATTTACGGATTTTATCGCGTTTAATTACTTTAACTTATTTTTATTATTATCCCGACGTTTCGGGTGCTTTACAGCGCCTATGGTCACGGGGGGACCCCCCCGGTCCCAGTCCCAGTCCCCCCCCGTGACCATGGGCGCTGTAAAGCACCCGAAACGTCGGGATAATAATAAAAATAAGTTAAAGTAATTAAACGCGATAAAATCCGTAAATAATAGTTTTATTCAATAGTTTTATTCAATTAGTACTCATTAAAAATTAACTCAGGAATGCAATGTTACAGAAAAGACTTTCAGCGTTGAAAGTTTTATCTATCGAGGCAGATATAGCATCCAAGCTGGATTATGACGCTATAATTAAACAATTCTGCAGGATAAAAAGCTGAATATCTATTTCTTCATTTTTCTTTGAAATTGTTAGGCAGAGGGCCTCGCAAAATGTATCTTGCCCACATAAAATTTAGGTCTTGCGCCGCCACTGCTGATGAGAGATCTTTAAGCCGTAAACGGACGCGACCCTCCTTGGGAGAAAGGAGGGCGCAAGACCAGCTTTATTCAGCTACCAGGCATGTATAAATTGTAAGATTTGCGTTTTATGATATAGATATTTACAATACACTTGGCAGACACATTGGTGAGCGCAAAGCCCATACAGCTCGTCAGTAGTGTAGGGTATTTTGGTTCCATAATTTCGAGGGATTACGCCAGTTATCGCCAGAGCGTCCATAGTTAATTAGTAAAAGAATGCATCAAGTGCAGACGGACTTGGCATTTTGTAACTTTTTTGTTTTAAATTCCCCTTTATGCCACAAGAGTGACACGTATACACCGAATTATACTTAGTCAAAGCCTAAATCACGGTACTAAAGTTTCCAAAGTATCAAGTATCAAATGGAACTGAAAAAGCTAAAAGGCTAACAACACTAACATCCAGATTACTGTTGCTGTGTCGTTGGACGCTCAGGCTGATCACTTTGCCAGTTGGCAGTTCTTACTTTCCTTTTTCACATCACATATATCTTTTCTTACATAAATATCAAACACAGCCCCTTTACAAGACCACTGCTGAACGTAAAAAGCAATGCAATAAACACGGTTCTGAGATACAAGTTACAAGTCAGTCAAGTCCAATACCTACCTCATTATGAGAAGAACTTAAAGGTCCACAGTTTGTACGTTGGCAAACCGTTGGTACGAATGTTTTGCAGTCCTTCTTAACATATTCCTCTAATGGGATAGGGTTTTGTACCCAATCAATGACTTCACCCGAACTCACCTGAATAAAATAGGACTAGTTACAAGTGGTAAAATTAAAAATGTTGTACAACGTACTTCAATATATACATAAAATGAGAATATCATCGATGTATTAATAAATATATAATAAAAGCTATTGGTCACATCTTTACCAAATTTAAATAGGACTACACTAGAAGCTTTCGGCTTTAAAAGTATTCATCTCGATTATAGTCGAAGGTAAATTGAAAAAGTAAAAATCGAATTCAATTTGAATACTTACCATGAAAGCATCATTGAGATTATTAACTAAATCCAAGAATCTGACTAGAGCTCTTTTCACAGCGGGGTAGGTAGCGAGGTACCATTCGTGTACGTAAAAGCCAAAAGGAGCTCGATTGCCGAGGTAATGCCTTTCGAAGTTAGTTAGTATGAATTGGAACCATTTTTCTTCGTCGTCATGTGGTGGTCTGGTAAACAATGTTTTAATATTAAAAACCATATATATTTACAAAAAATGTAAGAAATTAAAACGTGTTGGTACAGTCAAAATAAAATTATCAAAAGAAACAGTTCATGTATTTCTTATTCACTAGCGGCCAGCCCCGGATTTGCGTGGATAGAATTTACCAATGTAGTGTTATTTACAATTAAGGCAATTATTAATTTTAAGTCAAAGAGTATTTAAACGCTTTGGTTTGGTCAAAAAGAAAGTATTCTGTTTGCGTCCGATTCTACTTTTAAGAAAATATTTAACGCTTATAATAATAATAATGTCCTCCAGACCGAATTTCGGCCACGGCGGCCTGCCTCGACGGAGGCTAGCCATCGGCGCAGGACAGGATTGTAGTGCCCAAATGTATGTGCAAGCACAGGTGCACTCTCTATTCCCTCACTCTCATAATCCAATGGGACGGTAAACCGATAAGACCGGAGAGAAATCAAGCGCAGGACCAACGGCTTTACGTGCTTTCAGGAGTGGAGGCACGGGGGTGAGACACCGCCGACTTCCTGACTCCGGGCAACTACTGAGAATTTATTGAAGGAAAAAATCAATAATTATTTTTCGGTCCGACCCGGGATCCGAACCTTTAAGACGCAGGGTAGACTGTGTCGCATTGCTCCAATATGTGTTGACGGTCGTAGCACATTATTAATTTGGATCAGCACTGAAAATTGCAATTGACATTTGCTTTACCAAGCAAGGTATGGACCTTACAGAAACAGTGTATTGGCCCCAAATCGACCCTGGTTGTCGTTAGAGGCGACAAATGGAAACAAATCTGGAGATGGGGAGAAGTGTTATAATAATAACAACCAATAATCAAAAAAAAATCTGTGGTTACCAACTCGCTTGCTGAGTGTGGCAGCATGGCACGTATGGCCGCTATGAAGCAGTTTATGGGGAGGCCTACATTTAGTAGTGGTCCTTTGATAAGCTGGAATGAAACGGAACAAAACGGAATAACGATGGAAATAGTTTCCTACGTCAGCAGCAACTAACATATTGTGAATTTTTAAAAGGAATTTCTTCCTCTTTTATGTAAAACACTGCACAACATACTTACACAAATACACAGGCATCGACCATGGAGCAAGGGAATCCCTGCAAGTCAGTCCAGGCGACCATAGGTAACACCCAAACACCAGGTATTGACGCAGTTGGACAAGGGGGAACAATACAATCTTGGATCGAAGCATAGTCTAAAGTATAAGGCCACAGTCCTGGATCTACGTAACGAGTTGTTGGCCATGAACAGTCGTATTTTAAACCAACATCTGCCATTACTTGAAAACTGGCATTTCCGGTCATTTGAAGGAACGGAATACGAACTCCTGCATAATAAAATAAATTGTTATTAAATTAAATATTCTTATCCATATTTCTAAATGACTGAATGATTTTTTAATTTACATTTTAATGAAAGAGAAATTGTTATTAAAATTTAAGTGAATCTTATCAGAAATTAAACGCGTATAGATTATTCTCCATTTATATAAATAAATAAAATTGTAAAGTGACTGTTTGTAATGTCAAGATAACAGCTTTTTACTAAATGCAAATGAAAGTATATACGGTACTTATATCAACAGAACAAATTTTTAAGATTTTTGCCAGTCTGTCTATTTGTTCCGGCTAATCTCCGAAATAACTGTACCGATTTTGATGGGTTTTTCACTGGTAGATAGCTGATGTTATGAGGAGTAAGTCAGGCTAATTTTGTTTTAGAAAAATAATTAGACTTTCGCGCAAAAAATTAAAACCCGTGAAATCCAATCATAAATTTTACGCGGGCAAAGTCGCCGGAAGTGGTTCTTGATGAAATAGTTAAATATATTTACTTTTTGAAGAATCAAAAATTATTTACCTTGAACAGCATTTTCGGGAATATTGGCAAAGTGAGAAACTTGAAGTTTTTGGTCTCCGAATTCTTTCAACATGTCATCATAAGTTGCTTCAGCCCAGTATGTCTGAGGAGTTTGGTGAGAAATGGAATGAAGGGCAATTTCGAAGCCTTGGTTATAGAGTTCGTTAACCAGTTGATAGTCTGTGTACTCATGGCTCATGTAGAAGGTGGCACTGGCTGGACAGTTGTTCTTATTTTGCCGATTGTACAGGATTTCGCGGTAATTTAACATGTTGAGTATGTTGATAGCATCGTCGAATGTAGGTATAACAAACTGTCAACAAAATTAATAAAAAAATTATTATGAATTTTTTCATATATTTACTCACAAATAAGAAAGTTAAAATATCGTTTTTTATAGGAGAGGGGGCAAACGAGTATACGGCTCACCTGATGATGGTAAGTGATTACCGCCGATCATGAATAACTGCAACACCAGGGGAATTGCAGATGCGTTGCCGGCCTTGAAGGTCCTTAAGTCGTATCGGTCCGGAAAAATCTCTACTGGTAGTTAATTCCACAAGAAAGTTGTGCGAGGTAGAAAACTTCTTTTAAATCGCACGGTGGTGGACCGCCAATCATCCAGATGGTATGGGTGGTATCGCGAGTTTTGTCGCGATGTGCGATGAATGATATATACGTGGTAGAGCCATGCTGCAGTTATATTAGTAGTATAGTTGTAGCACGAATAATTCGTCTCGACCGGGGAAGGACCACGCTCTCACAGAATACCAGCGTGAAATAGTAGCTTAATGCTACTGTGTTTCGTATGGTAAGTGTAGAGAACTGAAAACCCTTTTTACTGAAAACGAGGCATTCCATCTTAGTCCTCACGGGTGACAACGCATCTGCATTTTGATTTGTAATCGAGGATAGATGTAGATGTCTATGGACCGCAGCAACCACTTACCATCAGATGGACTCTGTGCTCGTTTGTCACCTTATCCTATAAAAAGATGTTACCTTTAAAGCGTATTAAAGTCCACTGCTGAACAAAAGGCTCCCCCATAGATTGCTTCATAAGGGACTATAACTAGGGGATATTTACCATAGGTGCCTCGCTTGGCAGTTTTTTGATTTTTAGTCGTGAAAATTTGAAATGTGAAATATTAGGACGATGCTGCTGCTCATCTCTTGATTCCATTTCATGTGTCAATTTTTAAGACACGTAGTGGATATTCTTTCACCGCCACTACCCGGTAAAGAAATGTAATATAACAAAAAAAAAACAATACTAAATAATGGAAGGCATGAATGTACTTTTTCTTTTTAACTAAGTGAGAGAGTCTGTCTGACTTAGACTTATCTATTTCTGCTGACAAATAGCAGTGCCAGATCATAGAAAGTCAATACAATTACAGCCTTCAAAGCATCCCACCTAAGTCCTCCGAGGTGACAACGCACCTTGAAGATGTTGTCCATGAACAATCAGGTGAACTGTAAGTTTCTTTGGCACTTCAGTATTATTAGAAAAAACTGACATCAAAAAGGGACAACGCTCCCGTAACTACTAACTTTTTTTAATGTATATGACACGATATCACTTGAAGTTAAACATATTCACAGTGACATCCTTATAATTTACATAAACAAATGATGGTATTTCTATATCTTACATAAAAGTTTTTTTTTAAATTATGCTATACATACCTGGGGAGTATCTCTTGGTTCTAATCCTCCGGGAATTTCGGTAGACGAGCATCGGCAATTTGGCAATTTACAAAGATCTTCGTCACATGTCTCTGCTAGAGGGAGTTCCCTATCATTGCCATCTGCAACTGCTATCGCGACAAAAACTGCAGAAATAAGAATCGCTAGCAACTGCATTTTGATCAATTCCTTGCATGCAGTGCAACTGCCTCGTTTGTTTGTTTTAGGAAACATTATATATTGATTAATATTATCAATCTATTCAGTTACAGTTTTATCGTTAAACCAGTCACATCCTTTGTAAGCCACGATTTCATCTAATCTATTTTATCGGATCTTTATGAAATTATTAATCCGATTTAAGTTTCCCCCACTAACTTCTATATTGATATCAATCTTTTTTTTTAAATCTTTCGATACTCCAATTTTTCCTGAAAGATATGTTTGTTCATTTAATTGATAATTAATCAGTAATTCAAGGAAATGTAATATAATAAATGCATATTATTATATATGGAGCACTGATATTATAATTATTATTATTAGTAGTAGTGAATAATTATTATTTAATTAGGATCTTGTTTCATGAGTTTCTCATTTAGATGCAGTTGTAATTGTCTCCGAGTTTTGGAAATCAAAAGTTGATTTCAAAAAGTTATTTAGATTTTTGGAAAACATAACTCCATGCGTTTGTTCAATCGGATCAAATGACAGAGAATAAAATCAGAATCTAAATGCAGACGCATTGTCACCTAGCTAAGATGGAGTGCTTCGTTTTCAGTAAAAAGGATCCGGATTTCTACGCTCACCATAAGAAACACAGCAATATTAAGCTGCTATTTTATGCTGGTATTCTATGAAAGCGTGGCCGTTCCCCGGTCGAGCCGACAAATTTGTGTTGCAACTATAATATAGTCGCAGAGTAGCTCTATCACGAACAAACGTTGACTCATGGGTGCCGTAAGAAACGGCTATGGAAAATTACGGAAGAATCTCATAGTCTCTGTTAGAAAGCAGTAGAACCAGCTTATATATACCCAGATCAGCGGTTTTAGTATGGTGACCTGCAATTCTTTCTTCTCTTTTACCACGCCACACGTCACGCCGCAGCCATTATATGGTTGTAGCATGAATGGGTCGGCTCGACTGGAGAAGGACCACGCTCTCACAGAATACCAGCGTAAAATAGTAGCTTAAAGCTGCTGTGTTTTGTATGGTGAGTGTAGAGAACTGGCGACCCGTTTTCTGAAATCGAGGCATTCCATCATAGTCCTGAAGGGTGACAACGCAACTACATTTTGTTTCTTAATCGAGGTTAAATGTAGATGTCTATGGGCCACAGCATCCACTTACCATCAGGTGGACTTTGTGCTCGTTTGTCACCCTTATCATATAAAAAAGAAAAATAAATCGCTTGCTAAGGTAGGAGGAAAAGCCTACTATTTTGGTAAATTCTCTTTACGTGGAAAGTAATGAGTATCAAGTAGTGGATTATACATTGTGATAAAGAATAAAAGAAAATTAAAAACTAATCAAACAGTAAAGCTTACGTCATGATAATAATCGGCTAATATATAATCTACCTTAGTCTTCTAACGTCTCTTTGTCTAGTATGTTGCCGGCAAGAGTGTTAGCTTCTTCTGCCATCTACAGCGAAGGTGGAATCACGTGGGTTGAGGATTGTAAGTAGGACAATGCACCACATGCTCTATCGTAGACCTCTCAGGGCGACACCGTGGATGAGGCTCGAGTGTATCCGCGGGAGAAAAGTAGTTTAGTATTACTATGCGCTGCTCTCTTTACCGAAGGTTAAGTTGTTTAAGGCTTGTTTATTTATAGAATAAGAAAGGCAGTCAAGTACACAGTCCACCTGATGGCCAGCGGATGCCGTAGCCCATAGACATTAACATCTAACCTCGATTAAGAATCAAAATGCGTTTCCACCTATTTTACTATTTTGTACTATTTTACACTGGTATTCCGTGAGAGCGTGATCCTTCCCCTTTCTAGCGTACGACTCGTACAAGTTTTTTATGATGTTCTTTTATTTCTTATTTAGTTTTTCAAATTTGTTACATTGTTATTCACACATTTAATGACGTTAATGTATAAAAGTAATACGTTAATTGTAAAACTTGGTATAACAAATACTGTTGTTTGTTTCTATATAATTTGCTGAGCATAAATTAATTATTAAAGTAGGTTAAGATTTATATGTTACTTGCCAAACAAACCCACAACCCTAATAAAATAAAATAGAAAGATCATTTCCGTTCTAAAGTTCAGTTAGGTAGAATAGGCATCATATTTATTTTCTGCTCCAAAGTTCCGCCATTACAGTAACATCTTCTATATACTGGATATATAATACCTACGACGGAAAGCAAAGTCAAAGGTGAAAGTCATCTGGTACTACCATAATAGGATCACCTGTTAAGCACGGAAATAACGGCAATCCATCCCACCTTTAGAGCCGTGTAAGTTCAGAAGCTAAAGCACTACGTGTTTCACAGTAAGCTGGCAACCAGGATTCAATATTTGCACCAATGACGTTGTTAATTGAAATTTTATGTGCTGATTTACCTCATTCTCGGCGGTGAAAGAAAATATCGCAAGGAAACCTGATTGTCCGAGAAATACAAATTTGCGAGCACATGTATAGTCCACTAACATTAATCGCTTCATAACCCTTTCTGAAAATAGAAGATGCTTGCACCCAAGGGTAAAAAATATATAGACGCTAACTGTACTCAACATGAAGATGACTTCTAATGGTTGCCACACACGGTCAGTTCAACTGATCAGTTCAAACTAAAACTGTTGATATTTTTTAAAATATCGGATTTTCGATATATCGATGAATAAACTTATATGTAAAACTCCGATATTAATATATATATATATATATATATATATATATATATATATATATATATATATATATATATATATATATATATATATATATATATATATAAATTTATTGCGTTTCAATGTTATATAATAGCATTAAAAAAGCTTAAAATTATGATTGTGGACATAATTTATAATTGTTTTTATTAGCTAAAAACAATTATAAATTATAATTATAATTGTTTGGTATTTCCAACGGTGGTGTCGTTATAGTTAACAAAAGTTGTAAATGTGCGGGAGTTTTAACAATACATCTGTTAATCCGCCAATAATGGTCATTGCAATAAATCCTCCCAAATAAAGATGTCTATCTACAGTATTAAATAGTTTACTGACTATTAAGAGATATAAAATTAAATTCTCTTTTAAATCTGTACTTCTTATTACACCTACCTATTTTATATCTGCGTGACTCTAAGGTAGACTGGCAGATAATGCAATATGCAATAAAACATTAAGTCCGCCCTTATACATTTAATGTGTTTATGAAGTTAAATAATTAAGAAAAAAACAAATTGAACCAACCTTTAATTTCACTGATTGGAATATTTGCAAAATGAGCCATTTGTAATTTTTGATCGCCAAACTCTTTCATCATATCATCATAAGACGCCTCCGCCCAGTAGGTCTGTGGCGTTTGGTGGCTAACTGAATGTAGTGCAATTTCAAAATGTTGGTTGTACAACTCGTTGACCAGTTGATAGTTGGTGTACTCATGATTTATGAAGAAAGTGATGCCTATCGGACAATTATTCTTGTTGAGGCGATTGTATCCGATTTCGCGATAAGTTTCAATATTGAGGATGTTAACGCCATCGTCAAACGTTAAGACAACAAACTGAAACATAAAATATTAATTAATTTAAGGTATCACAGATACAAAACAACATGTTTGTAAGTAGATCAAAAAATTACGAAACACAGATTATTGTATTATATTTATTTAGATTTTTTTTTAATTTACTATTCTCTTAAATACGCTACGTTCAAAAATTTCTTTACTCTGAAAGAAGTATTAGGAAACACCGAAAAATCATTTTTTTAATAAAACATTCACAATTATATTTTGTAACCAAATATTAATATCAAATTTTAGAAAAAATTTTGTACTGGTTATTTTATAGCCAGAAGCATAATATAATAGCGGTTCATATATGTAGAATTTTTTTTTATTAATGACATTTGCAAACTTAACAATAGAGAAGCATAAAAACTTTTATTTGTTTTTTTTGTTAAATTTATTTATATTAAATTCATAAGGCAATGGATACACCATTCCAACGTATTATCTTTAAAGTTTTGAAGTTGACCCGAGATCAATTTGGGTTGCTAGCAAGAAATAGCACAGAATATATTATAACAGTGTTAGTAATAATAATATACATGGCAGTACACAAACTGTTGTTTGATTATTTTAAAGAAGATAAGTCTGTCCGCTTTTGTTTTATCATCAAGTTAATACAACATAAAAAAAGAAACACAAAAATACCTGTGGAGTATCCCTAGGCTGAAGATCTCCTGGTATATCCGTTGACGAGCAACGACAACTTGGTAATTTGCATAATTCTGGATCGCACGCTTCAGCTAAAGGAAGCTCATCGGCAGCGTTCGTTAAAGTAAATACTAACGAAAGTATTATTAATATAACCTTCATATTGGATGCTAAATGTATTTTTGTAAGAAAACAGTCCTTAACTCTACTTATATTTACATAGCCTTATCGGCTAATTCTAATCTGACTTTTAGATATAAATCTAAAGTTTTATAATCTACGGTGATTTGATTGCATATTTTTGCTGTTTTATAAAATACGTGTTTACGAAATGTTATTTCAAATCTGACATTATGTTGGTTAGCAAAGTATACCATTTATATACTACCTTTTATATAATAAGCTTTATACTTGGTAGAGCCACGCTGCAGCTATTATGGTTGTAGCACGAATGGGTCGGCTCGACCGGGGAAGGACCACGCTCTCACAGAATACCGGCGTAAAATACCAGCTTAAGGCGACACCGTGAAAAAATGCATCTCCTTTCATCGAATAGTATAGGACTATGACACCACTAATGAAAGTGGAATTTTGATATAGGTAAATTCATGTCTTTATCTTGAATTTGATAGTTCAAAAACACGATTGTATAATTTTGACTCGATCATAATTATTTGCGAAAACACCTCTAAAAATCACTACAGTTGAAATTATAACGAAATTACTTGGAAATCACTCATTATTTTGATTAATTAAAATCAATAATTTTTAAAAAATATATTTTAAGATTCTGACAATTTCTAAGCGCTTTTAATCGTCGCGGACGCTACGCTATTTTAGACCTTATGACGGCGTTTCTTCAAGTTTTTATAGAAATTATGTATTCACTCGGATCAGTACGGCGATAGCCTTTTCGATGTGTCGTCTTAATGCTGCTGTGTTTAGTATGGCAAGTGTAGAGAACCAGAAATACTTTTTATTGAAAACAAGGCTTTCTATCCTTAGTCCTCAGCGGTGACAACACACCTGAATTTTGTTTATTAATCGAGGATAGCAGTAGATGTCTATGGGCTACAGTATCCCTTACCATCTGGTAGACTCTGTGCTCGTTTATCATATTCCTAAAAAAAAAGAAAATAATATTATTGTGTGCATACGAGTAGTGATAGCATACGGAAAAATATAGGGTCAATATTAAATAACTCCATAAAGGAAGAAAAAAAAACAAATTATCGTGTCTCTGAAGCATCATTTTGTCAAATGATGAATAAAGTTGTATCAATGGGTGCGTTTGGCAGAAAAAAGCGCTAGCAAGCGCTTACAAGCGCTGAAATAGTTTTCGGCCAGGACACGATTGCTACTTCAGTAGCACTGACACAATCCGCCATTTTGCTTATTTAATTTGTTTGTTTTGAAGTAGAGTTTATAAGTTGTTTTGTGCAATATTAGTTTTAAGTAATATAATGACATGAATAAACATATACATGTTATTAAAAATTCATGATTGGTAAGTTTTTAATATGAATACTTTACAAACATATATATTTAAATTAGGTTAGGTTCCCCGCTTAAAACTAACATCGTGTCCTGGAGGAAAATATCTACTTACGATTTGACAGCGCTTACCGCTTGCGATCGCCATTTTGCTTCCAAGCGCTTGCTAGCGCTTTTTTCTGCCAAACGCACCCAATGATACTTATTCAATTTATTTGATTATTTCAATATTCAATTGTTTTTTTTTTCTTCCTTCTGAAAGTTTTATGTCATTGATTTTTATGTTTCTATCTGTACTCACTTAGTTGATAATTTAAATTATTTATTGAATAGTTTAAGGAGATTAACTATTAAGAATTAGTTTGCTTTTAAATTATTGTTTGAAAGCTAATGATTTTCGATATTATTTTTGGAAATAAAAAGATGTAATAATAAACATTTGCAATCTTTATTATTTTTAAACATTTACAGTTTTTAATGCCTATTTATATATATATATATATATATATATATATATATATATATATATATATATATATATATATAGTATGGAAAATTATTTATAGTGCATTGGGGTAAGATCGGTGATGGGGTAAGACCGTAAAATTCAAATATCCGGTGAATTATGCTATATTTTTGAAAGCTAGCAATATGGTACAAGACTCCATTTTATTCTGCCCCGACCCCAAGTTTCAGCCAGTCGCTCCGAAAAGTAGGGCGTGTGCTGCGCAGTATTTTATAATACAAGGTAATTTTTGAATTTTTTCGTCTGTCCTGTCTTTCCCTATCACTTTTATTTGCGATTTTTAGCGACGTCCGGTCTTCCCCTTGATGGCCAATTCTTCATCAGGCATATAAAAAATTATGCCTTGTCTTCGCACACGTTTTAAGCAGAAACTTTTGAGTTTTGAAAAGTAAAAGCTTCTTATAGCTAAATTACGTGTAACCATTAACGATTTGCGCCATGTTTCAGAAATCTGACGTATATGGATGTCGAGAAAATAAAGTTTTTGCCAGACTCTTTTAACTAGTCGAAAATCCGTCCGGTATTGCCCCAACGCACCTTATCTGATTTTGCGTCATTCTAGATAAGGGATACATTCGTCAATATTTACTTATTTACAAGTTGTTTTGGTAAACCCATCTACCTAACCTACAATAAACTAGTTTTAAACACTGTATGCCTATTATGTGGTACCTAGTACAAGGTAAGTATGTATTCAAATATTAGGCACTTTATTTGAAAATAAACTTAAATTACGGCATTCTTACTTAGTGGGTACCTATAAGAAGTTTTCGAATGGCTGGACGTAATTACAAAGTATAAACATAATAATTGGTAAAGAATAGTGATACGATCCCCTTTTGTTTAGTAAAATATGTAAAATGTTTTATCAATAAATTATGTAAATATATAAAGCTAATTTAATAAAAAAATACGAATAACGTTCTTATTTTTATACAAGTAAATTATCTTATAACGTTCTTATAGTGGCATAACACCCTACAATGTCTATTAACAAAGTTTTTAGCATAACGTCACAATTTGATATCCTGCGTTTTTTCAATTTTACTCAAAGGTAAGTAGGTACTTAGTATTTGTCGGAAAGTTGCCTTTTTAAAGAGCAGGGCAGGATATTAATAGTTCTCATTGGGAGAAGAGGCAATTTCAACAAAATTTAGTTAATAAATTATAATATTGTAAAAAATTAAGTAAAGTTACAGCCCGCCTTCGATCAGTTGGTACGGTGAAATCTTACATCTTTGCCCACATATTTCGGTTTTTATTACTTTTTTTCAAAAAAATAGCCACTTGATTTTGATGGTTGCTGAAGCTTTAAACGACACTCTATGCAACAAATAAACTGTCAAAACCAGGTGACATAATTCCTAACAGATGCTGAGAAAAAAACCAAAAATAGACGCGGGCAAAGTTATCTACACTTTCTTACATCTTTGCTCAACCTAAATTTCTCAGCAACTATAAGTTCTATGACTTTGATTTTAAGATATTTTGTTATCAAACCGGCAAAATAGTATACCATTATATTTTCAAATAAATAGAAGTCCATTTTAAGTTTTAATGGCGGTGGGCAATGTTATCACCACATTTAGTCAAACTTTCATACTAAGAGATTTGAGGTGCTAGGGCTGTGCATCAGATGAAAGGAAAATAATAATCTGATTTTAAAGTAGTAATGTATATTTTAATTTAAAATTAAAAACAAAAACTAACTGAACAACAAAAAAAAAACAAGAAAATCAATGTTTAGGTAGGAAAGTTCTAGAAAATTGTCTCAGAAATTAATCCTGATAGTAGAGATAAGGAAAAGTAGACAGCGACGATACTTATTTGATATAATACGAGGCCAGCTTATACTGATTTTGTTACCACTGATGAGCGTGGTTCACCTACTGTGCGTACCAATCCATTTTGTTAGCCCTTTTTGTCTACGATCGTTGAGGAGACAATTCTCTTTTAGACTTTATTTTTTTTTTTGCAAACGAATGCGCCGCATTAATCTTATTTGAAAACTTTAGCTTGAAACTGAAAACATTTAAGCTCTCTCTTTTGGGAAACTAGCGGTTTCTGACAAAAATTCCTCACAAATATATACCTATTTATTATATTTAAAATAATATATAAAACAGTATCTAGTTACCTATATAGTTATCAGAACAGTAATTTAGTTTGCAGTTAACAGTAGTTATTGTTATACAGGTTTTTTATATACCTATATACCTAAATACATTAATTTATTTTACTAAGTATACCTATATATTTACATTTTATTACATATATATATATATATATATAATTTTTATTTATTATACCTAGGCACATGTTTTCTTGTTTTTTTTTTCAATAGTGTCAACCCTAATAACATTTTTGAGCTGGGCAATGTTGTCGACCTCAGTTTATAAAATTGGTTACAACATTACCCACACAATTTTCTCGCTAACTAAGACAAGTGTAAGAAAGAGACCTTGATTAAAAGCAGCGACAATTAATGGCCTACACGTAAATAATAATGAATCTTACCTGCTCAGCGTTTCTTGGCAAAGCGGGATGCAAAACTGCAACAATGTTTTTGCACCACCTTCGACATTGTCCCTTGATGGTTGCTGACAGATGCCTGAATATAGTTAGCTGCGATTGTAGTAGTTAGTGCTGTCAAACAGATACTCTAGTTTTCCCTAGACACCATACAAAGTTGACATTTATTAAAATAAAATCTATATCGGTAGTTTCAGTTAATTTTCGTGTTTGGGCAAAGATGTCCCCCAAGGGCAAAGTTGTAAGGTTTCACGGTAGCAATTATATTATAAGTAAAAAGGTATAATATCATTGGTTGGTAGGTATTGGATCGAAGCAGCCCGCATACCTACGTCCCACGGCTGACACAGCTCTGCTCTCTCATTTCTGAGAGACCCTGTATCTATTTTTATAAAACCTCAGAATTAAATTGCAATCTACATTGGGTATGAATATTCGTATTTAGTATTTACAATTTTTTACAAAAAGCTGTTTTATTATTTGAGTAAGCGCCCTCTTTCACAATTAAGTAGAATTAAAAAGCACTCATGGTTACAGATTTTGAACTAAAAATTTTCCACGTTCGTATGTCGAATAAGTTCTCATAAGACTGTACAGATGGCGCTTTTGT